CTGGTACCAAGTAAAGGACAAAAACTTTCTTCCTCGATGTCTGAGGTGTGAGATATCATTTCTAGGTGCTCTATAGTCCGCCGCTCGCCACTGGCCCTTGCAGTATGATCACATGTAACGTGTATTTCATTCAGGTCACACCTGAACAATAACAACTAACATATGTGAACCCTGTTTCAGATCATAAACTGACAGATGTCGGAAATGGAGGACCGGGAACGATCGTGGACACCTTCGAGTACACAAGAGGAAACAGTCCATACGACAAGCCAAAAATAGTTTCCGGTTATGGCGTCCTTCGCAGGTCTGGCCTGTTCGCATACCGCACTAGCAACAATCCCACAGATGTAAACAGTACGTGCATTTTGAACCTGTTGCATACACAATTTGCTAATTACTGTGATATTATGATCATTAATTCATTTGAACGTGATTGGGTTACAGCATTGCAGGAAAAATTGCCATCGATTCAGATACGTTACTGAATTGAGAAAAATCGTCCTTGAGGTCAACCAGGATTACACTGTTATCTCAAGGACTACTGGTGAACACTAACTACTGACATTTAGAATAAGAGAAATGGTTTGATATATGTCGCTAGAAAAATCCAGAAGATATGGTTATACGTCTAGGGAACAGACATGGCTATGAATGCTTCTGGCTTTCCTTGGGAATAAATTGGACAGTGACCTAAAATTAGCTTTTCCGGCTTAACAGCAAGAATATTCTTATAGCACAGAGACTTAAACTAAAATAAATTTGCGATACTACCAGATTCGGGTAAATCTGGTTCCTTCAATGACTGTTTTAACGATCATGACAGGTTTTCATGGATACTGTACTGGCTCGTACAATAAACTCCACATTTATACCTGAAATGTTATGTTGATTGGATGATATGCCTATTGACCCCATGTTTAAATGAGCAAGATGATTATTCATTGAGATGTAAATCTTTCTCTTCTTCCTCTCAGCAAAAACTAAATACGACCTACCTCAACGTCGAAAAGATATTACATGTAGGGGGTTCTTCGGCTATAGACAGACTGCAACAATCCAGCGGTTCCTAACATGGCATACGAGGACAGAATAAACAACAGCAGTTGAACTGTTCTTTAGTCATGTGCTGCCAAAATTTGCTCATAATCTTTAAATTGATCACGGCTAAAAGTATGCCTCAGAACTTAGGCATACAACAACTCAGTTACTCCACTTCCGGTCAGTTTTCACCCCGGAACCGGGTACATCAAAGCATTCATGCTAATATATACTTGAAGTTACAAATCATAATGACCTTTAATCCAGATCTATAAAAGAATGTAACCATGAAGCAAAGACGAAAAAAATTCATTGACCTATTAAACTATTTATTACAACAGGATAACCTTTCACTGCATCAAGAGTCCATAAACGTTTTAACCAATACTCACACAACTAAGATTCTTGATCCTGCTCATGTACAGTTTAAAGACATAAGTCGCTCTGTA